ATGAAAAACATTGTTATAAATTTATAAAAACATTAAGTGGTATTTGTGTATCACGCCTAAAATTATTTTGTACTTCTATAAAGTAAAAAAAAATCACAACAAAAAATATTTATTCTTAATTTTTAAGTGTTGCAATATGCCCCACGGCAAGGGCAACTTGCAACAGTTCGGGGGCAAGTTGCAACGGACTATTCAGACTCGTCAGAATACTCAGAAAGGCAATTCAAACACACGTAAAATGGATCACGATTCGCACATTTTCCATGAGCCCACTTATTACACTTAGTGCACTGCAGCCAGTCCTCGCGTTCATTGTCTTTGTCATACTTTTCATCACAAACCAAGCAAAAAGTATCGTCCTCTTCGGAAGAACTTTCCGAAGTTACTTGTTTTTTCTTTTTCTGAACTGTTTTTTTCTTTACAGCTTTTTTGATTGAAGGCTCTTCATCTGAATTGTCGGAAACCAGTATTTTTCGGACTTCGGCTCTCTGTTTTATAGCACATTTTTTACCTTTTTGCAAGAACTTGTCAGATGTTTTTTTTTTTCTTTTCTTGTCGGAGCCTCTCTTCATCTTCTAAGGCCTTCTTCTCGGGTGTATCGGTCAAAATCGCAGCCTTTCTTCGTTTCTTTCCTCTATTGTTGTTGGTTAAGCGTGGTGCAGCCTTAGGAAAAGGTCGTACAACTTCTGGGCTGAATATTTTTGATAAGCTTGATCTTGGTGAAGATTTTGGTTCGTGTTGTACTCCACCCTTGTCAGCCTTTGTCGTACTTGGTATGGGGTCAAGGTTTATTTCATCTGCTTCCTTAGAGCCATTTTCAATATTCTGTTGTATTATTCCTAGCACTACAACGGCATTGTTTCCATCATCTGTTGCCTTAGGTTCAGGCTGTGATTCAGGTCTGTCTGTCACAAAAGCGGGTGCAAAATCAGAATCAGAGAATATGACTGGATTCAAGGGGTAAATCCCGGCGGCTGCAAAACCAGAAATGACATTTTTGGGACTCACAGCATTTAAAAATGCATGCTTTATGATTCCTGGAAGATCAAAAATCGTTAGGGTTTTTCCTGGGTTGCTCTTTAGCCACGCACTGATACCCGTACTGCACCATTTTTTGAAAGGACCGAACACTGTCAAGTCTAGCGGTTGCAATTTGTGCGAACAGTGGGGCGGAAATGACACCATGATAACACCGCTGTCTTTACACAAGTTCAGAACTTTGCAACTTAGATGAGACGAGTGATTGTCCAACAAAAGAACGACTGGTGCTTCCTTAGTGGGTTTGGAATTTTTAATAAAATGTTGAATGAAAGTGAAAAATGTATCTTCTTGCATCCAACCTGACCCATTGGCTTCGCCGATACAACCTGGAGGTCCATCCCGGATGAAATGGTCTCGAAAACGCTTTCTTGGGAAGAGAAACATAGGCGGTATAGAGTTTCCTTGAGCATTCACTGCCACAGCAACTGTGATCATTTCACCCCGTTCTGCAGAAGTGATTGACCCAACTTGTTTCGCACCTTTTTGAGCCAGTATTTTTCTTGGGCGAAGCACAGTCGAAACACCCGTTTCATCCATGTTCCAAATTCGAGATGCTTCAAACTGATCACGGGATAAAACCTCCGACAGTTTTTCGAAAAACATTGTTACGTTCGTACGATTGAAGCTTGTAGCCCTAGCAAGGCTCGTAGCTTCTGGTTGGCGAATGAAAAGTTCCGCATTTCGTTTGAGGAAAAGGTTCAGCCACTCGACTCCAGCCTGTTTGTTATCGTTCCATGATTTAGGAACTTTTATTTCATGCAAAACTGCACATTGGTATGCCAGTTTTCGAACACTTAGTGGATCAAGCCCAAACATAATATCACTGCATCGTTTGATATATTGCACTAAAATGCGTTCTTCCTCTTCCATAAACACTAGTCTGGCCTTTGCATATCCGCATTTTGGCATTTCGGAATTGTTTTGAACTTCACGAAGTTTTTTTGTTTTGGTAATATACCTTGATAAGGTAGAATAGTGAATATTAAAATCACTTGCAACTTTTCTTATAGAAAACTCCTTTTCTCCTTGATGTTTCAATACTAGGTTTGCAGCCCGCTTCATAACATCATCAGGAGTTGCACCTCTTGCGGTTTTTTTCTTATAATTTCTCATGATCTGTAAAAGACATTCGATTTACAATTTATTAAACATCAGGGGTAAGTTGCAACATGTTGCAACTTACCTCAAACCATCTGTTGCAGTTTGCCCCGAGTGACGCATTGCCACTCTAACCTCCAAAATTCTTATTTTGTAATCATGCTCAATAATTTCAACCCGTGCAAAAGAAACATGCTAATGTATATTATGACTTACCACAAATAAGATTTTCCTTTAAATAACTCAGAAAGGCACAGGCGACTTGGACTGCCACAGGAAATTTTTCACCACAAAATCGAAAAACTCTTTTTGTTAAAAAACAAAGAAAGGAATTAGCGGATCGGATTGCGCCCTCTATTATGGAAAGCTCGAACGACTTAAAATATGTATGTGAGTCTAGGACTCTGTAAGTGTTGTTTTTGGTTTAAAAAAAGGGTGTGTTGCAACTTACCCGTGTTGCAACTTGCCCCGGTCTCCCCTACCATGTAGTTTGGCAATAAGAATAATCACAGGGTTTTATCAAAACAAGGTCTGAAAAATATTGTTCATCATGGGCGTTTATACGAACAGAGCTGTCAAGTAATTGAATTAAAAGAATTGAAAATATAATTGAATTACTTTTCAGTAATTGAATTACTTTAATTCAATTATATTTTTAAAACCTTAAAAGTAATTGATGCTTCAATTACTGTCTAGAAAGTAATTGTAATTGGTAATTGTTTTTAAGATATTTGAGTAATTAAATTATTTTTTAAATAATTCAATTCCTTTATAGTAATTCAATTCCTTTATTGTAATTCAATTCCTTTATAGTAATTCAATTCCTTTATTGTATTTCAATTACCACAAAATATTCAATTCCCATTTAAAAACTAGTACGTACCTACTATTTTTTAAATGGGAGTTGAACGTACGTTGCTGTTTTCAGTTTATTAAAATTTAGTTTAAAGTTATTGTTGATTTTTTTAATGCTCTACACATGTTTTAAATATAATAAGTCGCAACTAGGTTTACTGAATCGCCAAGTAGTATATCTAGATGGCGTTGCACCGTGTAACTTAGCCGGTAAAACAGTTCACTGTACTGAGTAAACCAGGTTGGGTTCTATGGTTTGTTCTGTCAAAACTTCTGTGGATCTTGTCATAGATAACTTCTGTGGATCTTGTATAGATTCTATCAACGGCCCTGTGTGTATTAACAAAACTTAAAAATATTTAATTTAATTTTGTTTTGACTGTGTGATTGACCAGTATTTAGTGAATTTGTAGTTACTGTTTTAATACAATTGATGTACAAAGGACAATATATACAAGATTGACAAAAATACGTACACTACGTTCTACAAAAGAAACTGAAGACATATGTAAACAAGTAAGTTTTATTTTGTTTTTAATTTTACAACATATGTAGTGATGCCGCCGATACAAGAGAGCGTTTTTCTCTCGAAAGAAGGCTCGAGATGAGACTCACTTAACGTAAAGTGACCAGATTCTGTCAAAAAATAGAGGGACATTTTCTATGAATTTACCTTAATTACAAAATTGACACAATGATACAATGCAAATTGTAAATTTGACGTTACTTAATTATTGTTGATTGTGTCATTTTTGTAATTAAGGTTAATTTATACAAAATGTCCCGTTATTTTTTGACAGAATCTGGTCACTTTAACTTAACGATTTGGATGAAATTTTATATTTAGAAATTTTTGGGGTCGCTGACCCGTTAAAAAAAATGCGGATTTAAAATGGCGAACATCAAAGACTTAATCTCTGCCAGAGATGTTGCCAGAGATTCTTTGGCAACATCTATGCGCACTGCGCTGTGCGGTACTCGAGTACAAGTACTCAAACACTGTACTCGGTACTCAGTACTCGTATGGGTATTCGAGTACAATAATACTGTACTTGTACTTGGTACTTGAGTACTTTTATACGAGAGTACTTGTATTCAGTACTCGAGTACTTTTTTATTGTTCTCGAATCAGCTCTGATGCGCAGTAGGTACCAGATAGTTGGATCTATTCGCAGTGTTTACCGAATGATCGTACCTATGCGCAGTAGTTGCCAGACGACCTTACCTATGCGCAATAGTGTTTAGATGGTTGCATCTATGCGCAGTGGTGAAAAATATTTATAGAAATTTCATCCCAAATTATTGTTATCTATTTCTATTTTATAGCTAATTTTACCACGAGAAAAACGAGACTAAACGAGGCGAGACAAAGGCACTCTCGAGCGAGAGAAGAGTATTCTCTCGTCTCGTCTTGCGGCATCACTAAATACATAAAGAAAAGTTGGTATCGTCCCAGAAAAAAAACGAGCACATTTTATTAATAAACATTGCGTCGCATTGGTTTAACTCATTTGGTTACTTTACTATTTTATTAATAAAATGTGCTCGGTGTGATTGCGATTACCATTCATTTTCTATTATTTAGCCGATAATAAACGTAAATGGTAATCGCAATGATTTGCAATATTTAATTTATAAAATGTACTCGAAAACAATTACTTAAAAAACAATTGAGTTAAAAATTGGTTTAAAAAATCCAAGAAAACCATAAAAGAGACATAATTTAAAAATGCTATAATTTTTATATAAAAATTTAATTAATTTTAATTCTGAATATTGCAATTATTATTATATCAACTAAGTAATCTGAGTTTCATAAGTTTTTTTAATACATTTTTGAGTTTTTATTTTTGTTTTCACTTATATAATATGTTTTTAAAGGAAATAAAATCCTACTTTAACTAAATACCGATATTTAGCCATTGGGTACCTACCTTGGGTAATTACGCAAATTTTAATTTAGGGGAAAAATCCTGTATTATAACTCTGGTTTTATTTCTTTATAGATTATCTCAAGAATGGAGGAGGATACACTAAGCAATAGTGAAAGTTGTTCTTTTATCGCAGACGTGTCAGATTCAGAGGATCCAACATATACACCGGAGAAGGAAAGAAAGGAAGAGAAAAAACGATCAATTCCGGTTTTTTTTAATATAAGAAACATAAAATACAAAACTTGTTCGGACGTTACTTCTGCTTCGTCAAGTAAAGGTTCTGAGTGCAGTGATATTTGTGATATAAGACAAAACATTCCCGATGAAAGCCTTCAACTTGCTGTTTTACAAAAATGTCCTTATTTGGATGGGAAGTTTTTTAAAGTTACCAAGTTAAATGAGTTAAAAAAAAATGTTGAAGCACAATGCCAATTATGTCTTCCAAAAACTGTAACCATTAAAGGAACATGGGGTGTGTCTACTAACTATTTAAAACATTTAAAAAAAATTCATGACAAGGAAAATGCAATGAAAGAATATGATGATTATAAATCTACTAAGAAACAAAAGAAAGAGAATATACCAGAAAATAAAAGAAGTAATGAAGAACAAGAAGACCTGCCAATATCAAAAAAACAGCGAAAGATAACTGATAACTTCACTAAAAGAAACATAGCAAAAATTGATCAAAACGACTTTGATAGAAGGATTTTAAATTTCATAACAAATACAATGTCTGCTGTGTCTATAATTGACAATCCTTCCTTCATTGCACTCTTTAAGGGCATGGACCTTAATGTCATAAGTCGAAATACAGCTATGAAGAAAATTGGTTTACTTTTTGCCGAATTAATGACAAAAATTAAAAATGATTTGGAAAAAGTTGACTACGTGTGCACGACTGCAGACATATGGTCGGCAAAGCGCAGAAGCTTTTTTGGACTTACATGTCATTGGATTGATGAAAATTATCAACGATGTTCTGTTGCACTTTCATGTCAGCGTTTTATGGGCAGTCATACTTTTGACAAAATAGCGGAAATATTAGATGATATACATGCAAAATTTGGCTTACATACTGAGAAACTGGTGGCTACAGTTACCGATAATGGCTCAAATTTTGTGAAAGCATTTAAAGAATTTGGAGGTGGTACCCTGACAAAAATTACCGATACAGAGAGTGACAACGGCGATGGAGAAGAAGACTACTACGAGTTTGCAAGTATTCTAAATGATTTTTCCTCGTTGCAATTACCCAAACATGTTAGATGTGCTAGTCACACATTAAATCTCATTGCAACTACAGATGTCAAGAACGCCATTCAAAGTGATCCAACCTTAAGAACCCGCCACACCAATTCTATATCCAAGTGTACCATACTTTGGAAGATGGCTGGCAAGCCAAAGACCAGCGAAATTATTTTGGAAGTACTGGGGCATAATTTAAGTTATCCAGGAGCTACGCGCTGGAACTCGATGTTTGATGCTATTAATCAAATTTTAAAAGAAAAGGACAAATTGTGCACTCTTTTTGAAAAACTTGATATAAAAAAACAGATGTTTAAAGAATCTGAAATAGAATACCTAACTCAATATTGTATAATTTTAAAACCTTTAGCTTCTGCTTTAGACATCTTGCAAGGCGAGAAAAATGCATTTTTTGGTTTTCTATTACCATGCTTAGGGTCTCTTTTAAAAAAATTCGAAAGAATGCAATTTGAAAATTTTAAAGTTTCTAAACCAATTCTAGACGCTTGCCATGACGCTTTACTAGAAGGTTTCAGAAGTACTTTGACTTTTCAACAAAAGAAGCTAAAGATGCAACAGTTGCAACGTTTACTTTGCCACAATTTAAATTAAGATGGGTCCAGAATTTTGAGCAATTTTTAAAGAAAAACGAGGACCCTAATGACCAAATAACAAAAATTATATTGGACATTGCTCAGGACCAAAAGAAAATTTATACGGACAACACACTTCAAGAAGATACCAAAAAAACAAAATTAGATGATTTCTTTGAACTAGAAGATTCAACAACTGCAACAACAAAACCTACCAGTAACAACTACAAGAAAAAAGTTGAATTGGAAATTTTGCAATACCTTAATGATTCAAATACAGAAATGACTGCCCTAAATAGTTACTCTGCCATGAGATCCTTATTTTTTAAGTTCAATAGTTGCCTTCCTTCATCGGCCCCAGTAGAAAGGCTGTTTTCTTTTGCAGAGATCGTTAATGCTCCAAGGAGACATGCATTGTCTGATCTTCACTTTGAGCAACTGGTACTTTTAAAGGCAAACTCTGTTAAATATATAAAAGACATTTATTAAGATGTTATATGTAAACCATTGTTTTTGTAAAAATAAATTATTTTTAAGATTGAAATAAGTTTTATTTAATAATTAATCGGTAATGCAATTAAATACATAGGGTATTTCAATTACTTTTAACGCAAAATAAATTAATTGAATTACTAGCAAAAGCAATTGAATTTAACATTTTTTTATTTCTTTTAGGGGTGATTGATAATTGCTTAATTATAATTATAATTACTTAAGTACTTTGAAAAAACTAAAGTAATTGGAAATTTGCACAATTTTTTGGATGTTTTTAAGATTAACAGGGGCTTTTATTTAATTATGTTTTTGATATTTAATTACTTATCGGTAATTCAATTAAATATAGTAATTCAATTACTTCTAAGGAATTTGACGCAGATAAAGTAATTGAATTACTAGAAAAAGTAATTGAATTATTGTAATTGGATATTTTTAATTCCTTTTAGGGGTAATTGATAATTGCAAGTACTTTTGAAAAACTAAAGTAATTGGTAATTTGTATATTTTTTTGGATACCTGGTAATTGGTAATTGGTACTTGAATTACTTTGTAATGGTAATTGTGACAGCTCTGTATACGAATTACCCAATACTGTAGTAGTTTGTGCAGGCCCGTTCCTGGCGAGCGTGCAGTGCGTGCACGCACGCAGGCGCAACATTTCGGGGGCGCAAAATCAAAGAGTCAATCAGTACTTTGTAACGATAAACTTTCTTGCATATGATACTTAAAAACACATTGGATAAAGGTTTCTGCCTTTTTTGCGTCGGCCGCTCTATTTTTCGGTCGCTATAAAGCGCCTTTTGACGCTTTGATATTGGCTGCTTATTTTGTTTTGATATGAGGATCAAAATAAAAGAAGATAAATGCAGTTGACGGTAGCACAGTATACTATAGTAACTCTCTAAAATAGAATTACCTAGTGAAAAATGACTAATTCAATTAGTCTAATTTCAATAGCGAAAAAGCAGCGGTTAATAATTATTGCCAATAGCAATTTGTATCCCGGATATTTAGCAGTCAACTCCTATGTAAAATTGTCCGCTGAATCCGAAAATGTCGTCAAAAGTTATAAAAGTAGAACGTTTTTGAGATTTAGTAAATTTTCTATATAATATGGTATTGACTATATCTTAAAAACTGCTTTACTTTTATAATTTTTGACGGTATTTTCGGATTCATGGGACAATTTTACATAATAATAAGCTGTTAAATGCCCGGGATACAAATTACTGTGGACTAAAATTAGTGACTGCTTTTTTACTTTGAAAACTAGTCATTTTTATAGAGTACGTCAATAAAAACCAGTTGTAGTTATTATATTGTTTAGATTGTTTTTTTTGTTTTCTTTAGAGTATTTTTATTACTGACTATTTCCTTCGTCTTAATTTCCACCAATCACAAACGCGCATTTTGAACTTCAAAAGGTTTCTAGGTGGAAAACTGTATGACAGCACCTGTCAGCAGTTTTTTCGAGTTTACCCGCGGCAAAACTTGACTGCTGTTGTCACCAAAAATTGCAATTTATATTTTAATTGTTAACTGTTACTCATGAAATAGTCTTGTCAAATACCATTCGGGCATCTAACTTTTCCTGTGAAAAAAATCGTTCAAACACAATGCTAAGTAATATTTTTTAACAAAATGCATTCGTGCAGGTGCAAAAATTGTTGTTGCCACCAGCACTCATGCTACTTGTTAAAATATTACTTAGCAACGTGTTTTTTCGATTTGTCCTTATGTGTCCTTATGATATTACTTGTTTGTTTGGTAATTTAATAAATATTTTTTATACTTAATTTAAGCGGTTTTTTTACATTTTCAATTACATATTGCTAGTTCGCAAAATATATATTTTTTAAATTTTACGGTTTAAAATTGAAATATTTAATGTATTATATTTAAATATAAAAGGGGCGCACCAACGAATGCTGCACGCAGGCGCCAGACACCCCAGGAACGGGCCTGAGTTTGTGATAGTTTTAGCAAAGATGATTTTTTGGGAACCAATTGGTGTGAAGTAAACGGTCTCAAATATGATTTGAACAGTTATCTTTTTTATGATATGGATGACACTTTTCCTTACTTTTGTAAAGTTCATGAAATTTTAATTCACAAGAATGATATAATGTGTGTAGTATTTATATCAGAGGTATATAAAACAGTAGAAACCAACGAACATTTAAAAGCATTTCTAATAGAACCCAAAGGGGATGTAATCTGCTTAAAAATTTCAGACCTTCAGTCTTCATTTCCTAAATTTTCACATTCTGTAAATGCACGTTTATATATATATTATGTTTTTTTTGATAAATGTAAGCGTTTCAAAGATAATCGCGCCCGCGGAATAATAATCCAAAAGGCTTGGATACCGGAATACTTTTAAAAAAATTAATATTTTAAAATAAAATTTCAGAACAAAATGAGAAATAGTTTAAAGCCTATTTTAATTAATAAGAAAGAACACAAATTTATAAAAATATTTAAAATATAGAAGGTAACTTAATATTTTTACGATACCTAGTTATTAAAAAAGGTAAAGTTGAACTTTAGTTGCGATTATATTTAAAACGCTTACATTTATTAAAAAAACTAAAGAAACCTTTTTTCAAAGTTAATTTCCAAAAAATTTAAACTGCTTATTTTATTAAAATCCTAACTATTCTGGGAGTGATAACATTTTGAAAATAAATATTTTTTTCAAAATCTATAAAATTTTGTCCCAAGATATCTTTTTAAGGTCTTGGTTTACGAAAAAATATAGGTTACCTTTTTTATAGAGCATTCGATTCCCTATCAAAATATTTATTATATCTGTGGAAGATCCTGAAAGCATCAATAGAATCATTGCTCAAATTTCAAAACAACACAAGCGAATATTCGATGGAATCAAATGTAATCTGATCAAATTAGAAGAACCAAACGAACAAATCCCACCAGAATTTATTCGCCCAAGGAAAGGCGAGTTAAGGAGAATAAGGCCAGGTGAGTCTTCTTCTGGAAAACTGGGAGAAGAACGAATAGTTCTTTATACAGCGAAGAGGAGAAGATCCAGGTCTCCAGCTGAAAGGAGAAGGCCCTGGAGTGGGGAGAGAACCAGGAGGCGAAGCAGGTCCCTATCCCCAGTTGGTAACACTTACCACCAACAACAAAATCAAAATATTCTAAATCACCAAAATATTCAATCACTATATATCTCGTGAAATTATAATATTAAAAGGTACTAATTATTTGTCTGAAACAAATTTTTTTCTTCATATAAGTAAATATTTTGTTTCTTTAAGTAAGCATCCCATTTTAAGTAAGGTTTTGTTTCTTTAAGTAAGCTTCTACTAAACCTGAGATAAAAAGTCAACTAGATATTTACTTGTATTAACCAAATATCAGTTTAAAAAGTCAAATAAACCCAAGTTTTCCACTAAATAAATATCTTCTTGTAGATATCTAAAATTGCACTAGACTGTAAAATTTAAATTATTCCTTCATTTTGTGTTTTTATGGACTTAATGCATAAACGGTAACAATGCTAAAGCAAGAAGGGCTGCTCTACGTAGTAATACCTTTAAAATATTTATATGTAGAAAATTTAGTATCATGGTGATATATTTTGCTTTTTTTTATATTTTTAGAAGGTAATTCTATTTATTATGTAAAATGTTAAATTACAATAAATTTCAATATTTTCAAAACCTTAACATAATTTATAAAATACCTAATGAATTTATGAATAAATAAATTGTTTTAAATTAGATAAACTAACTATAAATAATTTTAAAAGAACTACAATAAGTATTCAGGGGATTTATATCTTTATTACCTGTCATAACAATATTAAATAATGTTTTTGGTTAAGAGTAAGTAAATAACAAAGTAGGTAAAAGATTTTTAGCAATGCAGCTAGGTAAGATTTTAACCAAAATAATTAATAGGTAACAATATAAAGTATAAATAAAATTGTTCGTAAAACAGTCACTTCCTGAAAGGGATTTTGATATTTGTCCAACATTTGAATCCAGAAAAATTTCGAGCAGGCCGAGTCAACCAATTTTTTTTAAGAATAAATATTGGATTAACCCCAATTTAGTGAGAAAACCGTACTAAAATAATTGTAATTTATTTAATAAAAGTTAGCTAAACTGAAAAATCTTTTCATCAAGAGTGTTTTGATTGCTCAACCTTTACCAATTAGAATATGTGAGCAAGCTAAAATTGCACTAGACTGTAAAATTTAAATTATTCCTTCATTTTGTGTTTTTATGGACTTAATGCATAAACGGTAACAATGCTAAAGCTAGAAGGGCTGCTCTACGTAGTAATACCTTTAAAATATGTATATGTAGAAAATTTAGTATCCTGGTGATATATTCTGCATTTTTTTATATTTTTAGAAGGTAATTCTATTTATTATGTAAAATGTTATATTACAATAAATTTCAATATTTTCAAAACCTTAAATGCACAGGCATACACTTTAGCATAATTTATAAATTTATACCTAATGAATTTATGAACAAATAAATTGTT